GCTCGCCATGGCAACCCCGGGGGGGGCGGGGGGGAGCGGGGTCGCCATGGCAACGGAGCGGGGAGGGGGCGCGGACCGGGAGCGGCACCGGGAGCGGCACCGGGAGCGGAGGAAGCGGGACCGGCGGAGATCCCATCCCAGGAGTCATCCCGGGGCCGCCCCGGCGGGACGCTGCGGCCTGGGGGTGGTGGCGGCCGTCCCCGCCGTTACCGGGGGTCGCCCGGGGTCACCCCGCGGATGCTGAGAACCGGTTCGGGCAGGAAGACGCAGCGTGAAGTTGGTGGCACTGGTCGCCGCCGGTGCATGGATGGGGTCGCTGGGGTCACGGCGGCGGCGGGATGCCGCAGCCCGGGATGGCGGCCCCGGTCCCGCCGCCGCCGGGGTCACCCGGGGTCACCCTGGGGATGCCGAGCGTCGGTACCGGGGGGAGGCGGCCATACCGGCGTGGTGGCACCTGTCCCTGGTGCCACCCCGGGTCGGTAGTGGCGGGATGCCGCGGCGTGGGCACGGTGGCACCGGTGCCCGGTGTGCCCGGGGGTCACCCCGGAAAGCGCGGGGACCGGGATGGGCGGAGTGCCGCACCGGGGGATGGTGAGCCGGGTCCCGCTGCTGCCCGGGGTCACCGCGGGGCTGCCCCGGCCCCGGCACCGGCGGGATGCTGCGCTGGAGGGATGGTGGCACCGGCCCCGCCGCCACCGGGGGTCACCCTGGGCACACACCGGCCGGGTGGTGACACCGTCCCCGCTGTTCCCGAGGGCGGTCCGGCGGGGCACGGGTGGGTAGCACCGCCCCGGGGCTCTCCCGGGTCCGTTCCCGGCGGTGCCAGGCTCGGTACCGGCGGCAGCGGGGAGGGTGGCACCGCTCCCGGTGCTCCCGGGGCTCACCGTGGGATCGTGGCCACCAAACCCTTCCTGTCCGTCCCCCCGAGGACACCCGGGGTGGGCAAGGACGGGATCTGCCCCCGGCACCGGGGACACTGGGGGGGACACGGAGCAGTCGGGGGGGCACTGGGGCTGTTGGGGGGCACTGGGGCAGACTGGGGGGCACTGGGGCTGTTGGGGGGCACTGGGGCTCTTGGGGGGCTGTGAGGGCGAAGGAGAGGAATTGGGGCAGGGGGCATAGGGGGCTGTGTGGGGGACCCCAGGGAAGCTTACTGGGAGCACTGGGAGAGATCAGGGGGGCACTCAGGGGCTGGGGCACTGGGGGGCTATTGGGGCACTGGGGGGGCACTGGGGGGGCTCTGAGGGCACCTCCCGACCCCTCGGGGCTGCGCGGCCGCTGCCGCGGGGAGGCGCCGGGGCTCGGATCCCGCCGGTCCCGCTCCCCTCTTTATTCCCGCTCTCCCTGGTTTTCCCCGGATTTCCTGCCAGGTTTCTCTCCTTTCCCCACTTTTCCCCATTTACTCTCGTTCCCTCTCTCTATTTCACCCTGATTTTTCTCTGTTTTCCCCGTTTCTCCCTGCTGCCCCCAGCTTCACCTCTTTTTCTCTCCCTTTCCCCCGTTTTCCCTCGTTTTATCTCGTTTTTCCTTCCTGTCATGCCTTTTTCCTCCTTTCCCTTGTTTTTCCTCTGTTTTTCCTGCTTTTTTCCCTTCCACCCCCTTTCCTCGTTTATTATTTTTCCTCTTTTTTCCTGCTTTACCCATCTTCCTTTATCCCCTTCCCCCTTTTTTCATTTTCTCTCTCCTTTCCCCACTTTTCCCCATTTACTCTCGTTCCCTCTCTCTATTTCACCCTGATTTTTCTCTGTTTTCCCCGTTTCTCCCTGCTGCCCCCAGCTTCACCTCTTTTCTCTCCCTTTCCCCCGTTTTTCCTCGTTTTATCTCGTTTTTCCTTCCTGTCATGCCTTTTTCCTCCTTTCCCTTGTTTTTCCTCTGTTTTTCCTGCTTTTTTCCCTTCCACCCCCTTTCCTCGTTTATTATTTTTCCTCTTTTCCTGCTTTACCCCTCTTCCTTTATCCCCTTCCCCCTTTTTTAATTTCCCCACTTTTCTCCTGTTTTTCTCCTCTTCCTCCACATTTCGCTCTCTTTATTCCCCTTCTCCACGTTTCATTTCCAGTTTTCCCATCTTCCACCTTCTCCCTTGCTTTTCCCATTTCCCTCCTTTTTCCTTCTTTTCTCCTTTTCCCCCCCCCTTTTCCTCTCTCCCTCAACTCTCTTCTCCTGTTCCTCCCTCCCTTTATCCCTCACTTTTCCCACTTTTCCCTCATTCCCCCACTATTTTCCCTCTTTTTCCCATTTTCCCCCTTCCCCTCTTTGTTTTCTCTTTGCACCCTCCCCCTTTTTCTGCCCCAGGACCCTGTAGGATCCCAGATTCCCAGGTCCCACCCCACCACCCCTCCCCACAATCACCTCAGACCAGCACATGGCCCAAATCCTGCCCTTTCCAACCCGAAAAATCCACATCTGGTGACCCCAGGGACAGAGGCTGGGAATCACCACGGAGGCCACGGGCTGCTGGCATCCCTCACCCTGGAGCTGAGGCTTCCTGTGGGATGGATGGATCCCCCTCTCACATTCTCCTGGATGGGATGGATCCCCCTTTCACATTCCCCAAAAATGGGATGGATCCCTGTCTCACATTCCCCTGGATGGGATGGATCCCAATGTCACGTTCACAATCCCCCAGAATGGGATGGATCCCCATTTCACATTCCCCTGGACTGGATGGATCCCTGTCTCACATTCCCCCAAAATGGGATGGATCCCAATGTCATGTTCACAATCCCCCAGAATGGGATGGATCCCCATTTCACATTCCCCTGGATGGGATGGATGGATCCCCATTTCACATTCCCCTGGGATGGGATGGATCCCAGTTTCACATTCCCCTGGATAGGATGGATCCCAGTTTCACATTCACATTCCCCTGGATGAGATGGATCCCAGTTTCACATTCCCCTGGAGGGGATGAATGGATCCCCATTTCACATTCCCCTGGACTGGATGGATCCCAGTTTCACATTCCCCCAAAATGGGATGGATCCCCATTTCACATTCACATTCCCCTGGATTTGATGGATCCCTTTTTCACATTCCCCTGGATGGGATGGATCCCAGTTTCACATTCCCCCAGGATGAATGGATCCCCATTTCACATTCCCCTGGACTGGATGGATCCCTGTTTCACATTCCCCCTGGATTAGATGGATCCCTGTTTCACATTCACATTCCCCTGGATGGGATGGATGGATCCCCATTTCACATTCCCCTGGGATGGGATGGATCCCAGTTTCACATTCCCCCAGTATGGGATGGATCCCCATTTCACATTCTCCTGGACTGGATGTATCCCCGTTTCACATTCCCCCAGGATGGGATGGATCCCCATTTCACATTCCCAATTCCCCAGGATGTGATGGATCCCCATTTCACATTCCCCCAGGATGTGATGGATCCCAGTTTCACATTCCCCCGGGATGGGATGGATCCCCGTTTCACATTCCCCTGGATGGGATGGATCCCAGTTTCACATTCCCCTGGACTGGATGGATCCCCATTTCACATTCCCCCAGGATGTGATGTATCCCCGTTTCACATTCCCCCTGTCAGCCCTGCACCCCAATCCTTGGGGGATGGGTCCCCCATTCCGTGTCCTGCCCCTCATCCCTGGATCCCTGATATTTTGGGCCGGGTTTTTCCCCCCGTCCCTCATCCCAGCCCCATCCTGGATGCGTCTCCCTGTCGGAACAAGGCGACTCCCCTGATATCAGAGGGCTAATTAATTACTTTATTATACTATATTATCCATACTCTATCCACTGTGTTACATTTGATCTAAGCTGGGTGTGCTGGGCACTCCAGTGCCCGGCACCTCGTGGCTCTGCTGACACACTCCTGGCTCAGAGAATCAAACACTCACACCCCAGTACAATCATCAATTCCCTTCAGGTAAACAATTCCGCTTGTGGACAACACCGGTGCACCAAATGAGACAGGAGTTGTTTCCATCATTCTTTTCTCTGCTTCTCAGTTTCAGAGAATGTGAATCCCAAATTCTCCACGTGGAACCCCAAAAACCCCGGAGCGAGCGCGCCCCGGGAGCGCCGAGCCAACCCTCCAATCCAATTAATGAGCTGGTAATAAATGAACGTATGATTTCATTTATTATTATTTGTTTGGCACCGCGCCACGGCGGTTCCGGCCCGCTCCGGGGAGCCGGCCAGGAGAAGCTTTTCATCCCAAATCCATATTGTTCCCCCCCAGCGGGGCGGCCATTCAGCCTCCCACCAGGCGCAGGGTTGGGTTTCCAGCCGGAAATTTCCGTCCCAAGGTACAAAAAGTCACATTTGGCCCCAAAAAAATAAAGCGGGGGGGGGGGGAGGGAAGAAAAAAAAAAATTTCTCGTCCTCCTTCCCGCGCGTTGGGGCTCTCCAAATATTTCTGTGGATCCCAAGGGGTCCCGGGGGAACAAAGCACGGAAAGCGCGGCGCCCCGAACAATGGGGCCGGATATTTTCTGATGTGAGCGGAGCCGCGGCCGGAGCCGGATCATGTCCGGCCTGCCCGGCCCCGCACCGCACCGATCCCGGCCTCTCCGGGCACAAAAACCCTTTAAAAAAAAAAGAATTATTTTTTTTAAAGGAAAAAAATCGGATTTTCCGTAAAAAGATAGTCTGGATTTTTTAAAATTTTTTTCTTTTTATGTAAAATTAATTAAATTAAATTTTAATTTAATTTAATTTAATTTAATTTAATTTAATTAATTTTTAACATATTTCCTCTTTTTTGGGGAAAAAAGGGCTTTTTTTCCTTGCATTTTGCAGAAAAAACAATGGGGCCGGATATTTTCTGATGTGAGCGGAGCCGCGGCCGGAGCCGGATCATGTCCGGCCTGCCCGGCCCCGCACCGCACCGATCCCGGCCTCTCCGGGCACGAAAACCCTTTTAAAAAAAAATAATTATTTTTTTTAAAGGAAAAAAATCGGATTTTCCGTAAAAAGATAGTCTGGATTTTTTAAAATTTTTTTCTTTTTATTTTTTTTTTTTAGTTTGTAAAATTAATTTAATTAAATTTCAATCTAATTTAATTTAATTAATTTAATTTTTAACATATTTCCTCCTTTTGGGGGCAAAAAAAGGGCTTTTTTCCTTGCATTTTGCAGAAAAAAGGATGATCTTTCCCTGGAATAAGGTCCCTCCAAAAAAAAAAAAAAAAAAAAAAAAAAAAAAAGGGCTTTTTTCCTTGCATTTTGCAGAAAAAAGGATGATCTTTCCCTGGAAAAAGGTCCCAAAAAAAAAAAAAAGCATTTGTGGGGAAAAAAGGGCTTTAGGAAAAAGAGAAAGTGCTTTTGTTTTTTTAAAAAATAAGTTGTTTTGTTTTATTTTTTTTTTATTAAAGGCACTTTTTTGAGAGGAAAAAAGGCACTTTTTTTTTTTTTAAAGTGGACTTTGTTAAGAAAAAGCTCTGGGGGAGAAAAGGGGCTTTTCTTTTTTTTTTTTTTTTTTTTAAGTGGACTTTGTTAAGAAAAAGCTTTGGGGGAGAAAAGGGGCTTTTTTTTCCTGGGAAAAACAGACTTTCTGGACAAAACAAGTGCTCTTAAAAAAACCCAAATAGCTGAAGCTCTGGGGGAGAAAAGGGGCTTTTTTTTCCTGGGAAAAACAGACTTTCTGGAAAAAAAACAAGTGCTTTTAAAAAAACCAAATAGCCAATTTTTTACAGGAAAAAGAAAAGGCAGAAAATGGACTTTGGAGCTCTACAAAGAAATTCTCTACATTCTACAAGAAAAAAATGGGTTGGGGAAAAAAAGGCTTTTTTTGGAATTAAAGAGGGGTTTTTGGAAAAGATGCTTTTCTTGAGAGACAAAACCCCTTTTTCTTGAGTAAAAAAAGTGCTTTTTTGGTAAAAAAAAAAGGAGCTTTCAAAAAAAGTAGGGTTTTTTTGGTTTGTTTTTGTTTTTTAAAATGACTTATTGGGAAACCAGGTCTTTTTGGAGACAAAAACGTGGGTTTTGGTAAGAAACGTAAAGCCAAAGAAGGCTTTAATGGGAAAAACTGGGGGGAAAAGTGCTTTATTTTTTTATATTTTTTTTTAGAAAAAAGAAAATTTGTTGTAAGTATTTTTTTTGGGGGGAAAAACCTTTTGTGGGAAAAAAAATTGTTCTTTTCATTGCAGGAATAGGGCTTTTTGGAATAAAACTTGTGCTATGAGGAAGAAGAGGTGCTTTCTGGGAGGGGAAATGTGCCTTTTTTCAAAATAAATGCCTTTTTTCTGGAAAAAAGGCTGCTTTTGGAGGAAAGAAAAGGCCTTTTTTTTCTGAAAAAAATGCCCTTTCTGAGAAAAATAGGCTTTTTTTGGGGTACAAAGGTCTTTTTGGTGGGAAAAATTCTGATTTTTTCCGAGATCTGGGCTGCAGATCCTCGGGGTGCTGGAGGTGGCACTGCCACCCCCTCTGTCCCTTCCAGGCAGGCAGAGGTCACTGCCATGACCCCAAACACCCCGGAGCCCCCTCCCCATCCCCAGCACCCCCATCCCAGCCAGGAGCGCTCAGAAAAGACGTGACCAAGGTTAAATAAATATTCCAAGCAGCCTTTGGGGGCTGATTCCATTTATTTGGGTACTTTTCCAAAGGAAATCTCGTGCTGACGTGGTCTGTTTGTCCCATCCCATCCCGGCCTCCTCTCACCCCCTGCCCTGTTCTTCTGGATGCTCCAAATTGGCCTTTTTAGCATAATTTTTTTCTGCTCTGAAGAGTGGTTTTGGGTGGTTTTTTTGTTTGGGGTTGGGGTTTTTTTCCTGTTTTTTTGTTTGGGTTCTTTTTTTTTTTTTTTTTTTTCGTGATTACCCCTCATTTTCTTTTTTTCTTTTTTTTTTTTTTGGGTTTTTTTTTTTTTTTTTTTCCTTTTCGTGATTACCCCTCATTTTTCCCCCAAATCTTCCGTTTCCTGCTCCCAGAGCAGGAATTACAATTTCCATCCACTTGGTGTCAGCTCCAGCCCCACCATCCGTCCGTCCATCCCAAATCACCCAGCCCCACCAGCCCTGGCTGTTCTGGTGGATCCCCTCACTTCCCTGCAGCTGAAATCTTGATTTAGCATCATTAAAAACGACCAGCTCGTTATTATTTCTGGGATCCACGCAGGAATTCAGCCCATTTCCCAGCTGGATGCCAAACCAGCCCTGGGAATTCTCTACCTTGTAGAGCTTCCAACCTGCACCATCGCTGGGTTAATTAAACCCACTGGTTAATCTGAAAATGGGTTAAACTCTGGGATACCCCGAGATGGAGCCTCTGCTTTTGGTTGTGATGGGGATTTTTTCACTCTGTGTTTGAAGCAGGATGAGCAGAAAGCTCCTGGGGCATTGAGCTCCGGGGAATTCAGTGCCTGGAAGATTTAGCGCCTGAGGAATTTAGCGTTGGGGTATTTAGCTCTGGGGCATTAAACACCGGGATGTTTTAGCTTCGGGGAATTTAATGTTGGGGCACTTAGCGTTCAGCGAATTTAGTGCCTGGAGAATTTGGCACCGAGGCTTTAGTGTCGGTGCATTAAACACCAGGGCATTTAGCTCCGGGGAATTCAGTGCCTGGAGAATTTAGTGCCCGAGGAATTCAGTGCCTGGGGAATTTAGTGCCCGAGGAATTCAGTGCCTGGGGAATTTGGCATCAGGGCTTTTGGCTCCGGGATATTTAATGCTGGTGCATTAAACATCAGTGCATTGAGCTCTGGGGAATTTGGCATCGGGACACTGAGCTCTGGGGCATTGAACTCCGGGGAACACTGTGGGGACAGTGAGAACCCAGGGAATTCAGTGCCTTGGGAATTCGGCACGGGGGCATTTGGCTTTGGGTTATTTAGCTCCGGGGTTTTTAGCATTGGGGTATTTAGTGTTTGGGGAATTTGGTGCCTGGGGAATTCGACGTGGGGGCATTTGGCTTTGAGGTGATTTAGCACTGGGATATTTAGTGTTTGGGGAATTTGGTGCCTGGGGAATTTGCCATCGGGACACTCAGGAAAAGGGCACTGAGGATGGGGACATTTACCAGCAGGGCACTGAGCTCTGGGCATGAAACAGCGCGGCACTGAGCTCTGCGGGTTTGGTGTCTGCGTTCGGGGTCTGGGGGATTCAGTGCCTGCAGCGTTTAGGGCGGGGCGTTTAGCAAAAGAGTTGGGAATTGGTGTTTTTCCCGGCGGGATGCTCAGCTCTGGGATGTCTTACACAGGACATTCTCACTCTGGGGCATTCAGCATCTGTGCAGAAAGCACCGGGGAGCGCTGGGCAATAGACAAGGGGGTGTTTAGCTCTGGGGTTTGTAGGGTTGGGGCATCAAATGTCAGGGTGTATAGCTCTGGGTATTTAGGGTTGGGGCGTTAAACATTGGTGTGTTTAGGGCTGGGATGTTCAGCATCAGTCCATAAAACGTTGGGGCATTTAGGGAATGGACTTCTAGACTTGGTGCATTTGGCACTGGGGCATTAAACATGGGGACAATCAGCTCTGGGGCATTTAGGGTTGGGGTGTTGAGCACTGGGGCATTTTGATCATCACAGAAATCACCAGTTTAGCTCTGGGGCACTTGGTGTTGGGGCTTTTAGAACTGGAATATTAAGCATTGGAGCATTCAGCCCTGGGGCTTTTAGGGTTGGGGCATTAGCAATAGGGCATTGAGCTCTTAAAATGGGGGAATTTAGCCCCATTTGATGTTGCAGCATGAAAGCATTGGTCATTAACACGGTGTCTTCAACCCTGGGGTGTTTACCCTCAATATTAAAATTCTGGTGAATGTTGCACTGGGGCACTTGGCTCTGGGACATTAAACACGAGGGTGTTTACCTCTGTGACATTAAACATCGGTACATGAAATATTGGAGCATTTAGCACTGAGCCATTAAGAGTTGGTGCAATTAGCACCAGCTCATTTAGCACTGGGGCATTTAGATTGCTGCATAAAGGGGAATTCAGCCCAGGGGTATTTAACATCAGGGCACTGAGCACTGGGGTGTTAAACAGTGGGGCAAGTAACTTTGGGGCATTTATTGTTGGGGCATTGAGCACTGGGGCATTTAGACCAATGCTTAAAGCATTAATTTAGCTCTGGGGCACTTGGTACTGGGGCATTAAACATGGGCACGTTTGGGTGTGGGATATTTCGAATTGGAGCATTTGGCACTGGAGGATCTTAGCTCTGACATGTTGAACCTTTGGTGTTTAACTCAGGGGTGTTAAATATCTGGGTGTTCAGCTTAGAGTATTTGGGGCTGGGGCATTAAACATGAGGGTGTTTGGCTCTGGGGTATTTATTGTTGGGGCAGTAAATATCAGGGTGTTTGGCTCTGGGATATTTAAGGTTGGGGCGTTTGGCACTGGGGCATTGAACATTGGGGAATTTAGCTCTGGCGTATTAAACCTCTGATGCTTAGCTTTGGGTTATTAAACATGGGGGTGTTTAATTCTGGGGTATTTAGTGCTGGGTCGTGAAACCATTGGGGTGATTAGCTCTGGGGTATTTAATTTTGGGGCATTAAACATCGGAGTGTTTAGCTTTGGGTCATTAAATATGGGGATGTTTCACTTTGGGGTATGTAGTGTTAGGGTATGAAAAACTGAGGCATTGCACTGGGTATTTAGGGCTGGGTGTCAAATGTCAGGGTGTTTAGCTTGGGGTTTTTTTTGGGTTTTTTTTTGGTTTTTTTTGGGGGGCATTTAACATTGGGGTGTTTAGGGCTGGGGCATTAAACATGAGGGTGTTAGCTCTGGGATATTTAGGGCTGGGGCATTAAATATTGGTGTATTTAATATCCTTACAGGTCCTGTTGCTCCCTGGATGCTGCACTGCAGAACAGCCCTTGAGGCCCCAGTGAGGCCTCAGAGAGGCCCCGGAGTTCACAGACGTGAGGGATTTGCATTTGAGGGATTTTCTCTTGAGGGATTTTCACTTGGACCCAGACTCCCAGAGAAATCCCAGCTCCGGCTGAGCTGGACTCTCTCACCCTGTGCACCTGCTCCCAGTGTGCCCAGTCCAGTCCTTTGGACTTCCTAAGTGGAAATAAACCTTTCCCAGTGGGGTCTGAGCCTGGAAACACACAGGGAGAGGGTGGGAATGCCAGAGAGAGGATGGGAGTGCTGAGGAGAGGGTGATGATGCTGGGAGAGAGTGGGAATGCTGAGGAGAGGGTGGGAATGCTGAGGAGAGGGTGGGAATGCTGAGGAGAGGGTGGGAATGCTGAGGAGAGGGTGGGAATGCTGAGGAGAGAGTGGGAATACGGAGGAGAGCTCCTCCTCCTCCTCCTCCTCCTCGCTGCTCCGGCCGGGAAGTGTCTGGCTGCGGCTGCGGGAAGCGCAGCGGGTCCAGCAGAGAGCAGTGGTAACACACCGGCATCCCGCCGCCTCCCTCCTGCCCATCCCGGCCTTTCCAGTAAATCTTAATTTCCCTGGAAAGAGAAAAGTGGAATTTGCCAAAAAACTTTGGGGCTTAATTGAAAAAAAAAACAACAAAAACCACCCCAGTTTTCCTGGTGGTGGAGGTGGAATGGGAGCGGACAGGGCTGGCAGAGAGATTTACAGGCTGAATCGAGACTGGTAATTGCAAAGAAAATAAAAAAAAAAAAACCCTCGTAAGAGCAAGCAAAAAACCCTTGTAAAAATAAATGATCAGCTTCTCTATTAAATTATTCTGCCCCGCTGGAGCGGGACACCCGCGGCTTTTGATCCTGCCGCTGCCGTCCCGTTCCCAGCCGCGGGACGGGGCCGGGGCCCGGGACGGTAATGGGCGCTGACAGCTCGGAAAAGCGAGACGGGCTCTTCGTTAATGAGCCCTAACGAAGCCGGGGGCCCGGCGGGGCTGCTGCCCGGCCGGCTGGGCCGCAGCACCCGGAGATGCCCGGCCGGAGGGGTGGGAGCTGCTCCCTCCCTCCATCCCTCTTCCAGCGGGAAAAAAGTCATTAAAGGGAATTTAGCGGGATATTCAGCTCGGGGAGTGCGGGCTTGGGGTCTTCCTGCAAATGGGAGATGAGAAAAATTAGAGGTTGGCTTACTGTGAGCTTGCAGTGCACCTGCAACAGGCTTGCAATGGGTTTAAAATGGGTTTGCACAAGGGGGTCGCAGTGGGACTGAAACAGGTTTGCAGTGGGTTTGCAATTAGTTTGCAAGGAGTTTGCAAGTGGTTGGAAAAGGGCTTCAAAGGTCCCCAGTGAAACAGCAGAGAGCTTGCAAAGGGTTTGCAGTGGGTCCACGATGGGCTTGAAGGGAGCTTACAACAGGATCTGCAAGGGGCTTGCAAGGGGTTTGCAAGGGGTTTGCAAGGGGTTTGCAATGGGTTTGCAATGGGTTTGCAATGGGTTTGCAATGGGTTTGCAATGGGTTTGCAATGGGTTTGCAAGGAGTTTGCAAGGGGTTTGCAATGGGTTTGCAATGGGTTTGCAAGGAGTTTGCAAGGGGTTTGCAATGGGTTTGCAAGGGGTTTGCAATGATATTGCAGCGGGTTTACAAGAGGTTTGAAATGGACTTTCAAGGTTCCCAGCCTTGCAGTGGGGGTTTGCAAGGGGTTTGCAAGGGGTTTGCAAGGGGCTTGCAATGGGTTTGCAAGGGGTTTGCAAGAGGTTTGCAAGGGGTTTGAAATGGACTTTCAAGGTTCCCAGCCTTGCAGTGGACCTCCAGGTTTTTGCAAGAGGTTTGCAGTAGGTGCACAGTGGACTTGAAAGGGATTTGCGAGGGGTTTACAATGGGCTTGAAAGGGATTTGCAAGGGGTTTACAATGGGTGTGCAACAGCCTTGCAGAGAGCTTGCAACAGGCTTGCAAGAGGTTTGCAATATGCTTACAAAGGGTTTGCAGTGGGCCTGTGGCTGCCGTGGGCTTACAAGGAGTTTGCAGTTGGCTTGCAACGGGTTTGCAATGGGTTTGCAAGGGGCTTGCAAGGGGCTTGCAATGGGTTTGCAATGGGTTTGCAATGGATTTACAACGGGCTCGCAATGCCTTCTGTCCACATGGGCCCATCCCAGGGACCCAAACCTCAATCCTGATGTTTGTCCCCGTCCTGGGGAGCCTCCTGCTCCTGCTCTCCACGTTTATCCCCCGTGCCACCCCGGGTTCCCCTCGGTGCTTTAAGCAGAAGCAGCTGCCCGGGTGGGGATCCAAGAGCCCCGTGGAGCCCCGGGAGGGTGGAAAATGCCCCAGCCCGGGGGGCTCTGCCTGCTGGGGCTGTGCTGTGACGTGGGACGGAGCCTCCCGTGACTGGAACCAGAAGGGAGGGGAGCCCAGGCTGGGAAAGGAGCCGGGAGAGGCTGGGAGCAGCAGGGTTCCTTTGATCCAGCCCCGCTTCCAGGCTTCCTCCAGCGCGGGGAGCTTACAACCGGCTTGCAACAGGCTTGGGGTGGGCTGGGGATGGGCTCGCAAGGGCTTACAATGGGCTCATAGTGCATTTACAAGGGGCTTACAGTAGGTTTACAATAAGGTTACAACAGGCAGCGGGCTTGAGAGGGACTCACAAGGGACTCACAACAGGCTTGCGACAGATTTACAACGGGTTAGCAAGTGGTTTGCAACAGGTCTGGGACAGACTTGTGACAGCCTTACAATTGGTTTACAACGGGCTTGACATTGGGGTGGGGCAGAAATTAAAGTAGCAAATAAATATGCACATAAATTGGGGGGGGGTGATTTGCATCTTTACCATTTTGGGTGAATTTTGTGCTTCTTTCAGCCTCTGTCACAGATCTGTCACACAGAGAGAGGAAACCAGCCCCTACACCTGCCCAGGTCATCTCATTCCCAACGTTTATTCCATGAAAATGTCAACACAAACCCACCCTGGACCTTGTTGGATAAGAAATCCCACCCCAATTCAACAAACTCACGTGGATTTGAGTTGGAGAGCTGCAAATATTCCATATTTGCCTGCATATTCCCATGGCGTTCCTTTCTCTTACTGGGGCTGCTCTCCTACTGGAATTTCACTTTCCTTTGGAGCTTTTTGCTATTTACAGTGGGATCTGAGGGTGGTTTTGGTTCCCGTTCTGCACTGGGGAGGATGTCCAGTATCACCCCCTGAAAAAATTGCACATATCAAGGCCCAAATTGCAACAGATCAGGGATGGAAATGGGTTTTGCTGGAAATCTGCCTCTTTGCAACCCCAAATCTTGGAGCAAGATGCTGAGATAAAAACCCAGAGGAGGGATTGCTTTGGGATGGGTTTGGGAAAATTGCACAACTGGTCTGAGAAGCTCCCAGCCCATCCCAACCTCTTGGTTTCATCCCTGTGATCCTAAATAAGGGAAGAGGAGTCGGGTCAGAGGATTTTCACCCACGCTGGTGATTCACCCAACCCCACAACCAGCCCAGTCACCCGTGGGTGTGTGGGAACCTCTGGCGTGGGTTTGTACCCTTGGAGAAGCCTCCTGGAGAACCTGCTCCTGGTATTTAGAGTTCTCCTAGGGGCAGGAAAGATGCTCCTGGTAAATCCTGGGGAACTCATCTGGGCTGCTTCCCTCCAGCCAGGAATGTCCTCCAAATCAGCCCAAGGAGGAGAAAGTGCAGGGAGAGCCCACCCTCCTACAGCAAAACCCTCCTTGTGCTTGTGTTGGGATGAGGATATAGAGCTGTAAGCCCCCCAAGTCCTGGGTGGATCAGCATTTCTTTGGGAAGCAAATGGATCTGTGGGTTTTTCCTGTGGAGCCAGGGTGTTTATCCCTCCACACCAGCAGCAAGCAGCAATCTGGTGCCTTCTCCACCCTCCTCACCATGGCCTGAGACAGGTGATGATGCTTTGGCACTGCTGGAGATGCTTCCCAGGTCCTTAACAAGCTCCTGGGAATCTCCCAGGGAGGCGTTTTCCTCAATAAACCACCAACATTTGCAAAAATTCGATTTTCTTGGGTAGGGATGAAGTGCTGCTGATGATTAACAATGAATTGGGATCACTTGAAGCACCCTGGGAATTTGCTTGGCCATCCTGCTTTTGGAATATGCCCATTCCCACATTCATCCATCTTAATTTGGACACAATCACCTCCAAAGTCTTTGCACACCAGGACTGGCTCTGATGAAGGTGTTACAAACGTGATGGAGTTCCCCATTCTGGGAATTTCCCTTCAGTTAACCCCTCGGATGGTGCCACCACCCCTGGCTGTGATGTGCTTGGATCCTGGGAATGCTGGCAAGGAAAACAAACAGGGTTATTTAGGTGGGCATCAGCTGGACTGGCAGGGAGTGGAGCTGGATTCTGGCAGTCACGGGCTTTGGGGTGCCAGCTGGGCTCTGGGGGCTCTTCAGGCCTTTGTTGGCACCCTGAGGACAAAATTGCCTGGAAATTAGTCCCTTTTGACCAAATCTTGAGTCTTGGAATGGGTGACCAAATCCCAGAGCTGCCTCCAGTCTGATTCCACATTGCTTTTGGGGCACATCTGACAATTCTGGGGCAAAAATGTGTGATGTCCCCTCCCGTTACTCTACTCACATGCACCTGACCCTAAATGAACACAAAGTTTAGGGCCTCCCCTCTGAGAGCATGGATGTTCTCTGATGTTCTTCATCAGCTCCAGGCAGATGGTTTTGAACACTTTGGGGTCACTGGCACAAAGTCTCCAGCAGCTCAAACCCCTCTTGTTGCATTGTCAGTGGATGTGGGGACCAAGAGCTGCCTTGGTTCCTCTGGCATCAACTCTTCTCCTTTGCTTTGCCCAGAGCTGACCTGGTCCTGCTTGAGTTTCTCCTCCAGTTTCTGATATTAAACCCACGTGGGCCACAAAACCTCCCCATGTCAGGTGCAAGCAAGAGCCAGGAACGTGCAAAGTTCCAAAGGAGCTTTGAAATTGGGTTTGGAATCAATCTCCAGCTTGGCCATATCTTCAGCACTGCTCCAGCCCCTCCTTTTCGCAGCTCTGGTTCTCCAGCCCAGCCTTGCTGCTCCTCTTGCAGGGCCTTCATCCCCTGCCCTCCCCGAGACCTTCCCCTCCAGGGCACACCAGGAGCTGCCCAGGTTGGACATGCGATCCCAGGTGAGATCCTCTTCCCACCACGGGTCCCATGGGGTCACATCCTCCCTCTTTTCTTTCCTGGCCTGTGATTATT